TAGCAGTCTAAGACTAGAGGGAAGGCAGCTAGTGATCTCCATGTATATACGTACATCAAGATGAATAAGTTATGTAACTGAGAGCAGTAGACCTAAAAATGTGACGCAAGCAATTTTTCAGTGCTATTAAAAAGTGAATGAATATAACGTTCCGAAACATAGTATTCTATTGTGACATTATATACAACCTGTTTTAGTTTCTTTGAAACTATTTAACAAAAATGAAACATTATAACAATATTAACAAAATGCAAAACAAAAAATGTTCCGCACAGGGGCTAAACACTGCTCCCACAGTGAAGTGATTAAATATAAATTTACGTGCCCAGTAGGCTGAGTATCAGAGAGGTCAAGTTTCAAGACATTCGCTGAGCACGCTCATCATTTTCAGCTGTGGACGCGTTATTTGGTTTAAAGAACCAGATAAAGTCCTAGTTACGACAAATATTCCTGATTGGCTTCCTTACCTCCGGTCAGTAGTTTAAACTTAAGGATAGCTATACCTGAATGGGGTCTCTGACATGGCCGTTTAGCCCATGGGCACATAAATTGTTGTGCAGGCTGTAGAGGCACTCAATATTCAAAACTTGTATATAATTTCGCAATATAATACTATGTTTCGGAACGTTATATTCATTCACTTTTTAGTAGCACTGAAAAATTGCTTGCGTCACATTTTTAGGTCTACTGCTCTCAGTTACATAATTTATTCATCTGTAGAGGCATTCAATATTCAAAACTTGTATATATAATTTGGCTATAGAATACTATGTTTCGAAACGTTATATTAATTCACTTTTTTTAGTAGCACTGAAAAATTGCTTGCGTCACATTTTTAGGTCTACTGCTCTTAGTTACATAATTTATTCATCTTGATGTACGTATATACACTGAAGAGGCACTGAGTACTCAAAACTTGTTTGGATTAAATCTTGCGACTTCTCCGACATTCACTGTTTTGATGATAGGTAGAGACACCACTTATATAAGTAAAAGTAGTACCTGAAGAGATTTGATATAAGTGAACCTATACACAGTTGTGAGTTTAATGTTTTTTTTATCCTTTTAAGGATGCAGATACCAAAAGCTTACACTTATCATTACGCATGCCAGAATGCCATTAATCTTTACGCTGGTATTGAATAGAACCATACATACAGCACTGGATGTCACAAAGTTTTGACAAAAAAGAAAAGCCATTATAGTGACTGCACATAACATTACATTAGCTAACCAGATATTTTTCTTACAAGTCTTATTATGATACTTCGGTTGTTCGACAACATATTTTTTTTTGTTGTTGTTGTTGTGGTTGGATCCATATTAATCTTACATGCTGTTTCAGCAGTTCTACACGTAGTACGAATTGGTTTTCAGACACTACAAGGATTCGTATTAAACGATGGAATACACCACTGTGAAGAGTATCCGAGTTGAAAGACATCAGCTTACACTTATAAACATTAAAACACGGTGTGTAGGTTCTATTCCTAGTCTATCAAACCCGAATGTTTTTGAAACAATAATTCGTCACATTGTAAGTGTAACAACAACATTGAAAAATCATTACTATTTGCCTGGTTTACGTGTGAACTAAAGACATACAGAATCTATTTAGAAAGAAAGTGAGCTCTGCCCTAACGTTGGATTAACATCGAAGCACGTGTGTAATTGTATTATTCTATTACTGTGTAACAAGTTATTACTTCAATCAACTAAGACGAACTTAGTGAGAGACAGAGAGGATGCGTCTTGACCCTGTAGTGGAGCTATAGATTTCGGAGCTGACGAGCCAGGTTGAAATCCGTGTGATACCGAAGAATGCTCCCCGCACTTAAGGTTGTATTTGCGTTGTATTAGCGTGGATGGTAAGTGATAGGTTATTATCAATTGGCTGCATTCCCTCTGATCAAAATCGGGGAATGGCGGCAGAGAGCCTTAGTCCACCAAACATGCTCGCTCTTTCGGCCGTGGGGGCGTTATAATGTGACGGTCAATCCCACTATTCGTTGGTAAAAAAGTAGCCCAAGAGTTGGCGGTGGGTGGTGATGACTAGCTGCCTTCCCTCTAGTCTAACACTGTTAAATTAGGGACGGCTATCGCAGATAGCCCTTGTGGAGCTTTCCGCGAAATTCAAAAACAAACAAACAAGAGAGCCTTAGTAACTTTGCCCTAAATACAATACAGTGCAATACGATAGATGAACAATTGCAGAGTGGCATTTTTAAAAATCTTAACGAATTCGTAGGGTCATTCATGACGTAGCTCTTATAAAAAAATTCTTTGATGTGATTTTATGAGCTAATTAAATTTTAGTAGAACTTTTGTATTTATCCATGACCCAGATCTCTATAATGAAGTTCATACACTACAACGGGGTTTCGACTATACCCGTGTCATAATGAATTGTTACCATGAGAGAGATTAACGAACGGCAAAGGATAAGCATGTTCTGGTTGTTCTAAAGTTTTTATTTGTTCCATTTTTTGAATATAAATGTATTTCAAGATTTACATGTATTTACGTGTATAGTTACCCTCTCTCATCTAAAATATCTTATTTAAAATTCAAATTGCGTTAAGATTTTTGAGATCTGGTTCTCCAAATTCGCTTCATAAACCAAACTTTCATTATATTGATTGAAATGTGTCGCTTTAGTAGACACAAAAATCATAGCAAAAGCGAAACCTATGTTCGATAAACTTTTTCTGCTCAATTCATAGAGTTACTATCGACAACCATTGTATTAAACATTATTATAGGAATTATATCTAAATATATATGTATATCAAATGTTTGTAGCTTAGTATAGAAGACACCAATCGACAAGGAGCAAAATAGTGACGTAACTAGTTTCTTAGTAGTGAATATTACTCTTAGAATTTAGGATGTGTGACACATCGAAATCGTGTACAGTCTTACTTATTGTTTCGTGGATAGGACACTCGATTCGCAATCTACGTGTCGTAGGTTCAAATCACGTCGCCGAACATGCCTGGGGTGTTATGTTGTGACGGTCAATCTTAACATTCGTTGGCAAAGAGAAACTGAAGGTTTGGCGGTGGGTGGTGTTACCTGCTGCCTCTGGTATATTACTTCAAAATTAGGGACAACTAGAGTAGAAGCCCTCGAGAAGCTTTACGTGAAATTCAGCAAAGAAACAATGTTATCATCACTGCATTGCACGAGGCTACTTTGCTAGTTCAATTTAATGTGGATTCAGTTCCTAATTATGTGCATGTTAAATATACACATGCATAAGAAAGACGACAGAGTTCATTCGACAGACTCGAACAAATATTCTCGTCATAAGCGACATTCTCTTGTACATTACAGTTGTTCAATTTACACGAAACCTCTCATGAACGAGAATGCTTATAAAAAATAAAAAAGATAAAAAATTTAGATTAACATTTGGACAGTTTATCTGTTAAAAAATATTTCCCTCGTCTCACTCTAAAAATAAATATAATTTAATTATACAATGCTCTTCAACTTTTGTTTTTGCTGTTCTTTTGACTAGTTTTTGTGAAAACAAATTCTAAAAGCCTTGATTTGTTATTTCACGAAGCTCAGACCAATTAAAAGAATACGCCGAATTAAAAGATGGGTGGAACATAAAACAATATATGTTTTAAACAGCAATGGGTATGAGGATTACAGAGGCAGCAGAAGGTCAATTTGTCTTCTGAATCTTTGCAGCGCGAAGGATACGTTAAACAGCTGTTCAAAACGTTTGAACTATAGACAGTAATACACCGACACATTTACACTCACTCACTGCTATTTATAT